TATATATATATATATAGCATTTTTGCGAAAATCGATATTTCTTGATTTCTTAAACAGTCAATACTTTTTGCGAAAAAAGTATTTGATAATTTTTGCTTAAATCGAAATTACTTCAAGATTACTATATTTATCTTTTATTGATTGTTTAGTTATTAATCATTAATTATTAATATATATATATATAATATGATTTTTCATAGTAATTATTAAATTTTTGCGGGCAGGAAAATTGTATTTTTTTATTATAGATAAAAACTTTTATATTAAATGTTTAATTAAAATCTAATCGGCAATGTATTTCTTACAGATCTATTTTTGGATGCGAGATCGGTTCTGGAGTTGGCGGTATTAGTAAGTAAAATAGGAGATGTTTCTTTTCATCAATATCTTTATGGCTAATTAACTATATTTAGAAATTTTACCGAGTGCCTGTGAGTGCATCATATTATTTTACTAACGATAAAAATGAACGATAAAGATAGAACGACATACTAAGGTATTCGGGTAAAGTTTTTGAACACAACTTACACAAGAAATTAGTGTGATGTATTTCACGTATAGAGATTTTCGCATATGGATGTATAAATTGCATAAAAAAAATTGAACTAGAAAGCGGTACACTTCGCGTTTTGGAAAATATATTTATCAAAGTAGTATTATGTTTATACTAGAATTATTTTATTATAATAAAATAATTCTAATATAAACATAATACTACTTTGATATAATACTACTCTTTTCGATTCGATTTATTACAAAATGACTTCTTTTATTACCAAAATTCTTGTTGATATTTAAGATTTAAAAAGTTAATATCAAAGGAGGAGAGAAATGACTATAAAAATTTTATGGTTTTTCTCTCAATTTTTTTTAACATGATATGAGATTGATTATAAATATAAATTTCATGTTTTATGATTATTAGTAATTATAAGTTATACTATTTATTTCCTGATGATTTCTTTAGCAAAGATTTTTGTATCTATATAATGTCAAAATTGACGTCTGAACTTTATAAATGACGAAGCATATGCGCGATTATTCTGACGCGTTTAGATTTTATGGTTTTTAGTTTTACTATTCCCGTTTAATTTTCCATTTTTATTATTTTTTTAAATCTAATATTATTATACATACGATTATAAATTTTTTAGAATTAGATTTATGGAAGTTTTAAAATTTGTAGAAATTGTGATTATTTTTTTTTTGGACTTGTTGATAAATTCCAGAAAAATAAACATTTTATAAAATAAAGTTTTTGTGCAGTTAAT